TAATAAAGTAAAAACTGTGTGGTTGAAATTTGTGATATCCAAAAAACGAAATTTAGCAAACCATTTCGGGAAGGAAAGAGTACTTTATAAGTTTACTGACCGTAAAAATTAGATATGACTAACTAAAAAGAGACGAAGGTAATATAGTTGTACACTTGTACTTACCTCAAGATGCAAATTGACTGCGCAGTAAAATGCCGAGATGGATCGATGTACGGTAGAGAAATAGATACTCCCTCCGTCCCTATTATATCTTCTAAATAGGTTTGGCACAAAGTTTAAGATAGTGAGTATTGTGTGGTGGAGAGTTGTGCAGAGGAGAGAGAAATGTGTAAGAATTGCTGTGAATCACAAATTCTGGCCAAAAAAGGAAAGTGGAAGTTTTAATTGGGACGGACGAAAAAGGAAAGTTGGAAGTTTATTAGGGACGGAGTGAGTAGTATTTACCAGTGTAAAATAAATACCCTTCAATTCGTCACCCTAAATAACGGTCGATCTAGTCTGCCGGCCGCCGTGAAGAATGAATCGGCCGGAGTTGCAGCTTCAATTCTACCTTCGGCGAGATTGCTTGGCTTCGTGTTTCGACGAGCAAGCTTTACAAATGGGCCCCAATTTTATTAAGTTTAAATCTATTTTTCTTGGGGAGCACGTTTCCGCCAAAAGCTCACATGATCATGCATCTCACCCTAAAAAATGTGCAGTAATTAATAATCAAACCTATGAAATGTTAGGAGAATTATATATATCAAAATCTTCAAACTGTGGATACCTATGATTCTATTAAATGTTCTCCGTATTTTGATTTATAAATTTTGGTTCGGACTTGAATGCATGATGGGGTCTGCGGATGTTACGGAACCAATATAACTCATTCTATAGTGCTGTTTTGTTGGATGTTTTTACTTGGACTGTAATTTTCCCCAGACCAGACCAGTTCAGACCAGACCAAACAAGACTTGGATAGTTATAAAAATACAAAGAAACCAGACCTTACCAGACCAGACCAGACCAGTTCAGACCAGACCAGATCAGACCAAACCAGACCAGACCAGCAAATTACAGTCCAAGAAAAAACATCCTTATTCTTATTACTTATTGCTTATTCTTATTTTATTCAGATCAGATCAGATCAGATCAGATCAGAAAGATCCAGACCAGATCAGAAAGATTCAGATCAGATCAAATCAGAAAGATTCAGATCAGATCAGAACAGATCAAAAAATTTCAAACATGATTTATCACTTTTATTATATAATAATAATAATAATAATAATAATAATTATTATTATTATTATTATTATGATTATTAATATTATGATTATTATTGAAGTGATTATTATTATTATTATTATTATTATTATTATTATTACTCCATATTATTATAATTATTATTGTTATTATTATTATTATTATTTAATTATTTTTATAATTATATCTAAATAATGGAAATAATTAATGTGCCAATTAGGCACAATTGTGGATAGAAGTACTCTTCCTCCAACTTATGGAAATAATGTGCCAATTGTCCTCACTCAATAATTGACATATCTAAATGCTTCACTAGCAATAGGCAGTGTACAATGTGTGCTATGTATTAGGCACAAAACCTCACTTTCTCCCCCTTTTCCATCGCTTCCCAACAATAGAGATAGGTTAATCATCATGATTCGTTTAGGCAAATTTGTGATTGAACACTACTCAAATCTTATACAAAAAGTTAACTTTTCATATACAAACTACAAAGCCGGAAATAAAACTCTTAAATAAGCAAAACTAAGGCTTCAAGCAGGGGCGGATCCAGGATTTAATGTTGGGCTGGGCTGAAAAATTTAATTGATAATACATTGATTTTTTTTTTCAAAATAAGCGAAAAATCAAATATAAAAGTTACCCCCTAAATTTGTTCTAGACAAGACTTTGAAACAAAAAAAACTCATCAACAATAGAGTCTACATCTATACTGAGAGTAATATATTTTTCAATGTAAAGTGTCATGCAATCAGCAAGAAAACCATCATCTATTTTGTTGCAGAGTGTTGCCTTTAGAAGTTTCACGACAGAAAATGATCATTCTATCTACTGTTGCAGTAGAAACAATAAGACCAATACGAAGTGAATCAATCTAGTCATCTTAACATATGAATCAGGCCTTTTGCTTTTAGTTAACTCCTCACATAATTCAACAAGTGTAGATACTTGAAACTTGGTATCATGAATCACATCATGAACATAGTGTTGCAGCTCGAATTTCAAAGCACGAATGTCCTGACTACTAAAATCTTCGGGATAAAACTTCCTTACAAAGAGTACAAATAGCATCGGCATTGAACGACTCATATGAATTTTTTGGATCAAATGAAACACTCAAAGAAAGGAGTTCCACTGATTTATCATTAAACCGGGTCGTTAACTCCATGAATAAAAGTATATTACCTCATTGAAAACATCAAAGTCATAATGATTCTCAATTGTAGTTTCTTTTCAGCAATGACCAACCATATATTTAGAAATTAGAATTCAAGTCTGGTGCATGGATTTATTTTTTGAGAAAAACCCATTTACTTCTTCAAAAAAACATTCCCATCTATTTTCTGTCAATTCCTTAAGAATGAGTTGTGTAGTAGAAAGATGTCTCATGGCTACCGAGATATTCAATAATTTTTTTTGAAGACTTTGAGAGAGAATAGTCGTTAATGCCATAACTTTGTGCATCAAACTAAAGTAAATTGAACACAAATTCAAAACATGAAGAATGTCTATATACACTACAAACTTTTGCCCAAGAACTCACTTTTGGGCAATTAATGTTGTTGAAGATACTCAAACACTTTACAAGTTCATGTGAACATGCTAATCAAGTTCTTAATTGAATCATATTTTATTGTACTTATTACATTGATGCTTTGTGGGCTTTATGGCCATTATACGTATTTATTAAGTGCCACTTATTAAGTGGGAGGTGATGTGTTTAACATTTATATTAGATTTTTAGATGGTAAGATTTTGTTTTATAAACTAGGCTGAAAAGTTGGACTGGGTTATACAAAAATCCGGGGTGGGCTAGATGGAATTATGTCAAAATAATACCTTAAAAAATAATTGTTTTTTTGCTTTGCCCTGGGCTTCAGCCCACCATAGCCCTAACATAGATCCTCCCCTGGCTTCAAGACTTATTATAGCTTAGGGTATGCAAGAAATGATGGTTTAATTAAATAGGATAATTATTCGATAGTAGAGGATAATACATTGTGATACTTTAAGGGTTGATACTTTGTTATTGGTTGAGCAATTCAAACGTCCAGTAAAACTGCAATAGCATCTATATCATGAAAAGCACGTACAACAATAATTTAAAATCGGCTGATGTTTGGTTTCAGTACATATGTCGTTTTAATTGAACATTCTTTAATTGGGATGGTGTATGGACAATACGTACAGGGACTTGGATCTACTTAACTATATATTCTAAAATAAAAATTGATAGCCTAAAATAATTTTATGGAAACTAATTATTCTATTTATTCTAAAAATGACTTTGACATCTTAACGATTTAATCTAAAAATAACTAACTCTATTTTGAGACTACCAATTTTTTATATTCACTTTTATGTACATAAATAATGTGCGATGTCAGTTTAAAGACAAAATGAGTTAAAAAAAAAAGGGTGCATCCGTTTTTAGATAGTAATAATACCATTTAAAAAAAGTGCTATCAAAGATCATTTGTAGCTATATATGCTCATTGAGTCATACAAGATTTTTCAAAAGTTAACCTCATTATTGGTATGCACGTTTGGTTAAAAATTGGGTGACAAGTCAAAAAAACTGATCACCAAACGAACACTTGATAAAATATTGCTCATTGTTAACTATTGAGTCTGTTAATTAACCTCAGAAATAGTTGGCTAAGAGATAACGATTGATTCATATAATAATTTTGCACAAATTTGAATCTCACGTGATGCAAAAGCATCACTTATAGACATGTTCAGATACAAAAGTTTAATTAAATAAGGTTGAATTCATATTAGAAATCATAAATATAAATTATAAATTATTAGAAACTTTGATTAGTTATAATGTTTTTAATTAGATTGATTTCAATTCCAGGCCAAACCAAATTTACACAAATAATTCAAACTAAACTTCAACAGTATCAAAATACATACTACCCCCCATCCCGTTGGAATGTTCCCATAGCAAAACGGCACGGTTATTTGCGCAATAATTAAATAAAGTGCTTTGAGTATATTTTGAGAAATAATTTTAATAGCTATATGTTATAATGTAGTTAGTATTGATAATTGTGATGTTATAAATGTATTATTTGTAAAATTTAATGATTAATTTGTCATTTAAGATTGTTAATTGTTTCCTAAAGTGGAAATGAGAACATTCTAATGGGACGTCCAAAAAAAGAAAGTGAAAACCTTCTAATGGGACGGAGGGAGTATAAAACATACATATACCCGAGTAGACCAAATCGGTTTAGACCATATGAGAACAAATTTAAACATATTAGACCAAATTAAAAACGCTGTAAAGGGTGGGAATATACTTGGCACATTAATATTGTTCACTTCCACTACCGATGGGCACATATGCTATATATAAAAATAATAGGCAGTTTAATATTTTTTTTTTCTCAACATAGAAAATGCTATTAACATATTCTGTAAATAAACCTATTTTTTTACCATTTCAATCCAGATCGACGTACATGACACTGGACATGCCGACGGTTACACTAGTTGAATGCTATGCTGATAAATAATGTGCTTTATGACCATTTTGTAATTGGACTTGTATTAATTGAACAGTGCAAAGAAACAAATGTATAAAAAACTAATACGTGTCTTTCGTATGATTAAAACTAATTAATAAATTTGACAGGGAAGTTGAGAAGAGAAAACACGGACGGGCTTCCTTAATGGGCCGGCCGCTTCTATTAACGATGGACTTGGTACATCAGGCGGGCTACTTAATGGATCTTCTTAATTAACACTTCGTCTTCCCACACCGGCTGACGAACAGAAGAAGCATTGCTTCACATACGCAGAGATGGGTGAGGAGATTGTCCCTTCGGGGACATCCGATAAAATTGGAACGATACAGAGAAGATTAGCATGGCCCCTGCGCAAGGATGACACGCACAAATCGAGAAATGGTCCAAATTTTTTTTCCAGCTTTTCCGGGGGATTTTTTGACGCCGTTGATATGCTGCTTCTGGGTTCCACCTCCCCTATTCTTGTGCCTTCGCGGAGGTTTTGGCCATTATCTTTAATGGATGCAAAAATTCATCGCTTAATTCTTAAGAACTCAAGAGGTGGCGGCTTTGGATGCGGAGGTAATTACACCCGACTACACTTATATGTCTTCAATTGTTTCGTTTATGGATACATGAGTATCGCTTCCAATGTCAGCATTTGTATGTGCTACCGATTATTGTTCCAAGTTTATTACCAGAAATCCTAATTAAGGACCAGTACTTGTGTTTTGAATCCATTCATTTTTTTTCAACTCCGGACTTAGCAACAAGGACTGGAAGGATATTGGATTTGCTCATGCCAAGGGAAATACACACTTGCCAATTATGTTCACCTAACAATAAGGGCTTAAAGAATTTTGGTTTCAGTGCAAGCTGTGTCCTGGGATATCTAAATGTGACAATGACAATCTTCTCTCCCAATGCTTCCATGTGGATATCATATCTAGCTAATTGTGCTCAAACAGCCATATACATGATACAAATCTAATTTTTGTTTGCACCTTCTTTTGCTCTCTGTATACATGTTCACTGCACTTACTTTAGTTTCTACTTTCTATGTATTGATGAACATGGTTACATGGTTATGGTAATTTCATTAAGTAGCAAGCTGTTACTGCATTCCTCGCTAGGCGTCTTTATCCCTTTACATTGTTATATTCTTGATCTTAAATTAACTCTTTGTTTATTCCTTTAATTTCCTCCCTTGCATTTAAAGTTGCAGGTTGTTTCTTACTTTTCGTGTTCTATTTTAACTTTTTATTCCTTACCTAATACCTATAAGGAAAATGGGTTTTCAAGAGAAGATGCATCCAAGGCCCAGGAGGGAGCATGGTTTCAAGCGTGTCAATATATTACCCATTTTTTTTTTTCAATCAAGCTATTTTCTTTATTTACTCTTTGCTGAGATCCCGCTTTTATTTGACCAGAACTCGTTTTCAAACACATTATGTGGCATCTCACAGTAAAAATTAGTATGGGTGGTCGTGCCTTGCACAACTCACATGGATCAAATGCTCACAACTCACAAAATTATATCCTTTATTCCCTGTTTCTCAATTTTCCTTTGAAGTATTATGCTACACTTTTGACCAATCAACAGAGTGTTAGTTTAGCAGTTCCATAACAGTTCTCTGCAGTACTAACAAAATGATGTCCCATTCAACTGCACTTCGTTTTCTGATTTTCCAAATAACCTTTCAGGATAGTTCATTTATGTCTTTGGCTGGGAGGAATGAAGTCGCTGCAAGAACGGCCCACCGAAATATCTACCACATGTACATACAGCTCTCTCTTTCATTGGTTGAATCTCTATTTGTACATTTGGAAGCCTGGTTATGATTGGGAGAGAAACTGGGGGGAGGGGATTAATTAAGATTAATTTAAACTCATGAAATTAGTTCATCATATTCTTCTTTAAAAAGATATTTCTGCAATTTAAATACTATGATATCTAAACATATTTTAAAATTAATATACAATAATCACACTCCATTTTGCTTTGCTTTTTCCCATCTAAAGCCAAACGTAAGAAAATAACTTTCCTCGCAAGTTTCTTTCCTTGGCATTTTCCAAACTCCAAACGCAACCGTACGGTTAAGATGTATTTTTAAGTTACTTAGCCAAAATCCAAACACAACCGTAGTGTTATGATGTATTTTTGTGTTACTTTGGAATTCAAATATTGTTTCTTCTTTGTTTTGGTCTCATAGACTTTCTTCTTTCCCAAGTATCGTACATACCCACATTTTTATTAACCCGATCGCGATACTTGTGTGTGTCTTTAAAGTTTCCATGCATATAGGAGAACTACAGTTGATTAAAAAATAAAATGGAGATGCATTGATATGGTGGGTTAAATGCACGTTTGTCATGGAGGCTATTAATTGTTTGTAGGAAATACAGACAGTTGATCAGAAATACATTGTTAGTTGTTTGTAGGTTTGGAGGAGATATCAGTTTCTGGCCTTCTAGATAGCCGGGAAAGGGTGGGATGTTGGTGTGGTAAACAGGCTCTTATATAGAAGGGACTGGGAGCTGATTCTGGGGATTCCTGGTAGCAAGAGGTCAGTCCTGGATCGTATCTTCTGGCCTTGGGATGAGAAAGGTCCCTACAAACCTACAACGTAAATTGCAGCGGATTGGCTGGACCTGTGTGTGGAATCTCAGCATTCCACCAAAGGTCAAGCTGTTTCTTTTTCATGCAAGTGTGTTGGTTAACTGCCTATTGCTGCTAGTCTGCTTCGAGGAGGGTGAAGTGGTCACAGCTGCGCATTTTGTTATCTTTGGATAAGGGACACGGCCTTTCACATATTTGTCTTATGCCAGTTATGAAAGGAAATATGTATATTTCTGAAATGAACCTATGTAGGGTTCACATTTGGAAATGCTATTACCGACCGTGCCGACAGGCAAGCTGTAGGGATCCATGGCTTACACGACTATTCTAGAGACTCTAAAGTAGTAAAGTTAGCTATGTACCCCTTTCCCTGCGGATTGATTAACAAATGGACACTGATATTCCGTCGTTGTAGGTAGATGAGATTTAATAACATCATCGAGTTCTCGACCCATGATTCATGAATTCTTCTTTTGAAATGATTTGGATAAAATGGATCCTGATTAGGTGATTTTTAATTCATCCTCAAAATCCATTTGTAATTCTTTAATTAATAACTAGTTTTTATTCCATAAATTTATCTGCAAGCCATCATTTTTTAGTAGTGTTTATCATCACTTATCTGATATTGCTTTATTTGAAGTTTATGATAGCAGTGAAACTCTTGAAGATAAGGAAATTGTTGAGGCTGGTTCATTCATAATGATAAAGGCCATTTAAATGTGATTCCAGATAATGGCAATTGATAAGCTCGGAGCATATGGTATTGAAAACCGGGTGAACCCTTGAATGGAGAGAATTACTATGTCTTTGAAGCCTTGAAGATTTGGCTTGAACGTGTTTTATGAAATTTGGTGTGTATATGATTTATTCATCACATCCAATTTATGGATTTAATAATTATGCATAGACATTGTGTGAATTAGACTTTTTTTTGGAAGAATTCGGCTTATATTGATAACAGATAATTCAGAGTATGGGTCAATTGACAAAAAGAAATCTGACAACCGTTATCCCGCGATCTAGACTCGGAATTAATCACCTCCAGAGAAGCAATATAATTCACTGATCCATAAGTGGGAAACCAAAAGCCAAAAACGGTCACCATATTCCTCTCATCTCCCACATCCAAAAACAACGTCTTACAATCAGAAATAAAGCAAAAACAAAGAACAAAACAGAACCAAACACCAAACAATTCGAAAGAAAAACATAAACTGCATGAAACGAAATTAAAATTGAATTCACCCATCTTCTTTCAAACCCAAGATTTGCTTGCACTCCATGGCGGCGGCTCAGGAGGGGGACGTGCCCACCGTTCATCCGCCACAACTTCAACATCCGTTTTATTCAGATATCGTTCTTCTTCCTTTGCGCCAACCTCCATCATCTTGTACTTGTCCACAAAACTTTCCAGGCCGAAAAGAGAAAACTCAAATGAAAATCCGAAACTCGTTTCCACCTCCATATCCGCCGACGAAGTGGAGCTGCAGCGAGAGAAACTTATCCGCACACGTATTGAAACCCTTCGTTCAATAGCTCAGACCGAGGAACCCGGACAATGTCTTCGACAATAGACAACGTCTTCCAAACAATCCAAAGAGACATCCAACGAACAAAAGACTCGGAGACACGGCGGAGAGCCGTCTCCGGACAAACCCTAGTCCGGCCTAGGCGGCGGCTCTAGAGAGAGAAAAAACGAGAGAGCCACAGAAAAACTTTCATTAGTCTACTATCATTGTGAAACGGAGATTAATATTTGTGTGAATTAGACTTAATCTTTCTTATGTGGATCAGAAATATTGAAAAAAAAAAAGTAGCAGATATGGGAACATACGATTCTGGTTAGAAATGTTTTAATTTTTTCTGTTTTGACTTTTTATTCTTTGTTGTGAACATGTGATTATTCTTTTTGGAACTATTTTTCTATAGTTTCTTGTTAGAATGGTTTGGTTTCTAGTTTTAGAAAATTTCAGATGCTCCATATATTGTGGCCTAGCCCATCTTGTCTTCTAACAAAAAAGAGACAACATTGATATTTATAAAAGAGCTGCTTGTAATGTGGAGTAATTGAAATCAAAGAATGAGTAATACCTGCTATTTGCAAACTCATTTTTGGAATACAATATGACTTTCTTTTTAAACAAGAATGTTTCTGCATATATTGAACTAAAAGCGACTCTAAAGGAGTGTTTGGGTTTGCTTAAAAAAAGTACTTTTCAGCTTTTGGCTTAAAAAAATTGAAAAGGGTGTTTTCAAATGACAGCTTCTGCTTAAATTAATCACTTAAAAGCTAAAAGCTGGAAGCAGGTAGAAGGGTGCTTTAAACTGCTTCTCACTTTTTCTATTACACAAAAAGTACTTATTTTACTAAAAACTACCAACTTTTACTTTTCCAGAATCACTTTTTTCTCAAACACTACCAACTTTTACTATTAATCACTTTTCCCAAAATCACTTTAAAAAATCACTTTTTTAAAGTTGAAGCAATTGCAAACACTCCCTAATACTCACTATAAGAACTTGAGCAATACCGATGTCCAACTATTTGCAAACTAGGTACATTTCTATTTGACATTCTACTATTCTAGTGGTAAAGTTAGGTTAAAATGATTGTAGCCTATTTCTATTTTATACATTAATGGATAAAAATCTATTAACAAATTAACTAATTAAGATATTACACATGTTGAGTTATGTTTCTGCTGCTTTAACACCTTGTCTAGTATCCATTGTAAGTTTTGACCCCCTTTTTTCAAAACAAAACAATTAGAAGAAAATATATCTTCTTGTAGGAGATATGTATATTCAGCGGCGGATCCAAGATTGAGGAGTGGGGTAGGCAAAGCCCCTAAGTAGTAAAATAATTACTCCATACAAAGGGTTTAGCTTAGGGTTATTGAAATGAGCTTTTTTCAAACTACTCGAGTTCGAGCGTGATTTTGAACTTAATTTAACGACCCGCGCTAACAGGTTACGAACTCGAACACGGGCTAGATTTTGAGTTCAAATAGTTATTCAGGCTGAGTTTGAGCATAGTCATGTCCGATTCGATCATATCCAGACTCGAGCATATCGTCGATAACTTATAAATTATACGCTCCCTCCGTCCACTTTTATATAGCAAAATTTGACTTTTCAAGTTAAGGAAGTTAAACTTTGAATGATTATATATTTATACACGGTAATATTAAAAATATGAAAATGTTCTTTGTTATGAGAATGAATTGTAAAACCTCCCAACTATTACCAATTATGATATGAGAAAAACTTTATGAGACGGACGAAAAAGGTAAAACGGGACAAAGTTAGGTTTACTGGTGGAGTAAAATCTAAAGATTCTAGTATTTATTGGTATGAATTAAATACTTCTATAAAAGTATAAAACCAATAAGTAAAAACAATCATTGTACATAAAACTAATAAGTATTCCCAATTTTAAAATTGAATTGAGATTTATAATTCTTTCTTACATGTGTAAAAAATAAATAAATTATTATCTAATCTTCAATTGTATAATAAATAAATCATTCTATAATCTTTAGTTATATATTGAATTATTATAAATTGATAATGAGGAAACACTATTTTGTTATCTACTGAAAAATTGAATTAATAATCAAATAGAATTACAAAACTAGTAGACTTGGGCCGGGCTGGACATTAAGTTTAGGGTGAGCTAGACATTAAACCTATACTTATTATACAAATAAAAACATATTGGGTTGGGCTGGGTTGGAGCCCACCCCAGCACTTACATAGATCCGCCCTTGTGTATACTGCCAACTAAAAGAGAACATATTGATATGGTAACTAGTGAGAGTTCTTTCAACAGTCCTGATGAAATGTTGGATCTGCTAATAGAATGTTATCTTTCTATACAAGTCAAGGAACTAATGAGAGTCCCGATCACAACTAAGAGAGAAATAATAAGGAAAAAAAGGAATGGAAAAACTGTAATTTGGACAAAACTTTGAAATTTCGAAGATGAGAAGAACGAGTCTTTGAACATCAAGCTAAGCCATGATGCTATAATTTTGTTGAAGATCAATCTACTTGAAATCCAGATGCCCTTTAAGAACAATTTTATATTCAAAAACATTACAACATTCAAAGAACGAATGTTTAAAGATATAGATAACAAAAGTTTGAAGATTTAAGGACCCGGAGAACGAAATATCGAAGATATCAAAAACGAAGGTTCAAATGTTTCACGAACAAAGATTTGAATATTTGAAGAACATTCGAATACTTGATGAATTAAAGATTTAATTTTGAATTAAATTCTCAATTAATATTTCTTTTAAATTTTAAATGAAGAAATAGAGTATCATATTTAGATATTGAACCTTATATTCTCATTACTTTGATTTGTAATCAATTTTAAATAAATACTTAAAAAGGTTCGCAGAAATATCATTAAAAACAATGTATAAGTAAAGCCTTACCCAACCAACCAATACTAAACGGGAAAATTGTTAATTTAGTCTCTAACTTAGACATCAGCTCAGTATTAGAGCATCTCTAACATAAATGTGTTAACACTACATTCGTGGCACGAGAGATCTAAACCTCTTCCGTGAGGTATGCTTGACATATAGAAGCTCCGACGTGAGCTTTATTTGTCACTTTCTTTTTCAGTTCCCGCAAACACCTTACAACATTGAACAAATGTAATTATGTCATAATAATATACGTATAAAAATTGGTGAAAATGATAAAATATTTACCTCTCAAAGCTGTACATCCATCTATAAAATGGTGGACCTCCTCTTCTAGCTTCCCATGGAAGATGGATAAGTAGATGCTCCATTCCATCAAAAAAGGATGGAGGGAACACTTTTTCGAGATTACACATTATAGTCGGAACGTTGCGGTGAAGGTCCTCAACAGCTTTTTTTGTTAAGTACAAGCGAACATATTAACTGAAAAAGTTGGGAAACATCTGCAATACACGCCCATACATTAGCCGGAAGATTTTCCTTCAGAGCAACTGAGAGTAAACGCTACATTGGCTCTTCATATTTTTCATTGACAACTTTTCTAAGTCAACAATTCTCTTGAAGTTGGATGTGTATCCATCTGGAAATCGCAACTGAATAAGCTACTCCAATATTTTTTGCTTTTGTTCAACCGTCACTTGGTAAACAGCTTTCTTGTAGGGGCCTTCATATTCAGAGCTCATAGCTATTTCCGGTCTATCACAATACACAGCTACATCCTTTCGGGATGATAGACCATCTTTGGTTCTCCCTTTGAAGTTCATGACTGTGTTGAAAATGTTATCAAAAACATTTTTCTCAATATGCATTACATCCAAATTATGTCTAATGAGTAGATCTTTCCAGTATGTAATTCCCAAAAAATGCTTTTTTGGTCCATTTATGACCAGTCTTATATCCATCTGGATACTCAAGAGGTTCATCTATGGCAGAAGGAATGTGTTGAACACGATTCAAAATTTGATATCCTGTCAACCTCGGAGGTGGAGGATCACGCTCAACGCGCCCCTTCAGGAAAGACTTTTTATCCTTTCTGTATGGATGCTTTTGAGGGAGAAACCTGCGGTGACAACCAAAATAAGATGGTTTGCGACTATTTTTGAGCCAAAATGCATTTGACTTCTCCATACAAACAGGACACCCCATAAGGCCTGCGGTACTCCAACCAGATAGCATTCCATATGCTGAGAAATCACTAATTGTCCATAAAACCGCAGCTCTCAAATTAAATATCTTCTCTGTCGAAACATCATATGTAGGAACACCTACATCCCATAGTTGTTTCAACTCCTCAATAAATGGTTGTAGGTACACATCAATTCATTTCTTAGGATTACTAGGTCCTGGACACATCAACGATAAAAACATAAAATGTATACGGTGTGATAATAATTGGCCAACATGAGAACTGTCCGCCAAATTACCATACGGCGCAAAACCATCAGCACACAACCCAAGACGAACATTACGTGTCTCAAAAGCGAATTCAGGATAACATCGGTCCAAATGTTTCCATGCATCCGAATCAGATGAGTGAGACATTAAGCCTTCTTCTGTCTCATGCTCAACATGCCACGTCATGCACTTGACGCATACAATCTTTGCAAACGTGGTGCTAAAGGCAAATATATCAATTTGGATGTTGCAGATCTTTTTCGTGGTTTGTGGCTCATTGCTGAGATAGGCGTGTACCTATCCTCATTACAAAATTTACAGCGGGTCAATCCCTCGTCTTTTTTCCAAAATAACATGCATCCTCCAGGACATGCATGGATTTTAATCATAGGAAGACCCAATTCGGAGACAAATTTTTTCATGTTGTAATATGTGTCGGGAAGAACATGATCACGTGGTAACATGCTGCCAACTGAGTCAAGTGTCCTGGACATGCAATTCTCAGACAAATTATATTCGGACTTTGTATTCAAAAATTCAGAAACCGCAGATAACTGCGAATGACCATCACAATCAGAATACAATGGTTGATCCGCACTTTTAAGAACATCTTGAAATCGCGTGCCTAACGCATCAACATCATAAAAATATGAACTTGGTCTCTCACCCGCATTACTGTGTGCGGTGAAATCATTATTCGGATAGGTATCCGGATGGGTATTGGGAAATGCAGAAGAACCAACCAAATCATAAACCATTCTTTGCTCCCATTCCATATCTGCATAATTTCCCCACGCAGCCATCTTGTAGGGAACATAGTAAGATGTTCCCACAGGTTGAGGCAAATAACATGCCTCGATCGGTTCTCCTTGAGAAGTCCAATTGTAATAGTTTTCGATAAAACCATTAGTATATAAATCCCAACACACCTCC